AGTATAACGAGTGTTCAGTTGATGAGATGAGGCTGCACTCTTATCTTGGAAGATATTTCAGACAATCATATCACTGCACCGACCTTTTCTTTTCTCAGGATGGCGTGCAGGTCATACCCGAGAGCGCGCCCGAGACCAGTCTGAGACCAGCGGGCGCGTCACAGATGGGCGGCGTAGAGGCTGGCGTCGACGGCGGCCTGAGACGCGCCTCCAGGGACCTCGGCCTCCACTACCCACGACCCGGTGAGTCTGCTTTGGCATTGGTTTTCTTGCCGTCGGAAGTTGCCCTTTAGACTTCTTTGGAAAGTATTGCGATTCTGAATAAAAGACGAGCAATATTTTGTAAATCCTGTGAAATCCATCTGTGTAACCGCATGACGCGTGTCTCACCGGTTCTTGGCCTTTTCCCTCCCCGGCCGTCGCTCGCCGCAGCTGCCAACCGTGAGTCCCTTTGCCATTGCACTTTTCTCACACAAAGAACATGGTGACGAATGTCCACAAGATACAATTGTTTCTAAAAGATAGAAATAAACTGAAACATTTAGATTCTCAACCCCTTTATCCTCACACTCTCTGTGCTTCTCACACAGACGCGGCGCCGCAGCTGCAGTACACCTTCATCGAGCAGACCGTGTCCCCGGGGTCGCCGGTCAACCTCAAGTGCTCAGCCGTCGGCTCGCCCTTCCCCCTGATCACCTGGACGCGGGACCACCGGCCGCTGCACACCTCCCTCAGGTGGGCCTCGAAGTGGCAGCTGCTCGCTCGTGGCGCCAACGCCTTTCTTAATGCTAGCCTTGTGCATTAGCCTTGCAGATGGAGAGATGTATCTCCTCTTCTATCTCATCCTTGCACGTACGGGCTGTTGCACTGTGTAGTCTCTTTCTTTACGTTCTTGTTTTTCATCTTGCTCAGACTCGGCTTTGATAGTATTATGGCCGCTACGTTCAATACAATATAATACACCAGTCATGTGCAGATAACATAAAGGTGATGCTTTATTTCTTTCTCTCAAGTTTACTCACACGTACGTATCCACATTCAGAGACAGCTACAGCGGAATATGTCCCTGAAGTAACTGCAAATTTCAAATATTACGTCGCAAAATCATTTTTTCGTCGTCGTTTCCGCCTATGCATTTAACTACAGAGCTTAAATACAGCGGCGGGATTTAGCATCGGCCGCCGCCCTGAACTGAAAGCTTTATTCCTCGAGCAATAAGCGAGCAGCGAAAGTAATCACTCCTGATCTCACTGCCGCCCGAAACGCTCTAATTGTATTCCATCATTTCACGGAAAACAAACGCTGATTTTCAGTTGTGAATTCATTTCGTTAATTCATTTCTGTAAGTGTCTTTCGTAAGTTAATTTTTTTTACAGTTGAGTGATTCGTTTCTTGCTTCGCTTTTCGCTGACCTTTGTTCTTTTTATTAATACGAATATCGTAAATTGTCTGAAATAAAATCGCGAAGTTACTTCTGGGAAAGAATGATCTGAATGTTAGCGACGATACAACGAACTTCCAAGGCAATAGACTTCGTGTTTATTATCCGCCATCACTCTGCCGTGAACAACATAAACTGTGGTAGCAAATGCACTCCAGACGCCATCACTCGGTTCATTATTATGAGGTTTTAAGAGTGATGAAATTAATCAATAAAGTTGAGGGTACATAAGTGCATGTCATACATACATACATTCATTTATACATATACACATACATACATACATACACATACATAATACATACATACATACATATGCACACATACATACATATATACATACATTACATACATGCATAATACATACATACATACATACATACAATATATATACATATAATATATACATTACATATACATACATACATACATACATACATATATAATACACATACATACATACATACATAATTACATACATAACACGTACGTACATGTGTGCTTAACTGTGTGTTGACAGCTTTAGAGATCCCCCTCCCTCTGATCCAGCTCCTTTGCAGATATAATTCAAGGGTTTTTTTTACATACCTGTACGTAAACACACCTGTATTTTCATTCCTAGAAGCTACTTGCCTTAATGTTGTTATAAATAAGGTAAATGGACTCGGCTTTCCCTTGATGCGTGAGGCAGTTTTGCCGCGCGTTCTTTCAATATTTTGAAATCGGTCTTTTTAATTCGTTCACCTTTGCGCCGCTGCATATAGAACGACCTCCACGTTCTTGCTGTAAAGTTATGACTGTTATCATAATATACTGAACGCGAGCGGAAGGCTATTGCGTCGCCATTAGCAGAACGTGAATCCGTCATGAACGGCTTCCTGAGCGCTCTCCAAAACCTAGCACCTAATCCGCCATTATGCGCGGAGGGATTAGCGACGGTCAGCAACCTCGATGTGAGATTGGCGAATCGCACCTTGCAACAGTCGCACGAACGCTCTCGTTGTCGGGTGATCGTCTGTGGATCGTGAGCGTGGGTCGGAAATAGTTCTCGGAGAAGATTGGATATTTCGAGAGTGGAATCAGGTTTTTTTTGTTTTTTTTATGAGTAAGATTATATTCTAATAATGGAATTGAATGTTTCACGAACAAGATCAGACATTTCACGAATTAAATGAGGTGTTTTACGAATGAGATTGAATAGTTCAGGCACATGATTAAATGATACACGCATAAGATTAGATATTTTACCATTGAAATTAGATATCTCACCATTAGAATTAGATATTTTACCATTGAAATTAGATATCTCACCATTAGAATTAGATATTTCACCATTAAGGTATTTCAGCATTGAGATTAAATATTCCAGCATTAAGATTAGATATTTAAAGCACAAAAACTAGATCATTCAGGCATTATGCTTAGATATTCCAGCATTAAAATAAGACTATGCTTAGATTCCAGCATTAAATAAGACATTATTAGATATTCCAGCATTAAAATAAGACTTTATGCTTAGATATTCCAGCATCAAAATAGACTAGATAGCATCAGACGTTTTGCTTAGATATTCCAGCAATGGTATATGCATTAAAATAAAGAATTATGCTTAGATATTCCAGCATTAAAATAAGACTTATGCTTAGATATTCCAGCATATAAAAAGACTTGCTATAGATATTCCAGCATTAGATATAAGGCATTAAAGAATGAAAATAAAAATCTAATGAATAAAGCCAGATATAAATAAAACTATGCTTAGATATTCCAGACATTAATAATAATGCAGACCTATGCTTAGATATTCCAGCATTAAAATAAGACTTATGCTTAGAATATTCCAGCATTAAAATAAGACCAGCATTTAAAATAAGACTTTATGCTTAGATATTCCAGCATTAAAATAAGACTATGCTTAGATATTCCAGCATTAAAATAAGACTTTATGCTTAGATATTCCAGCATTAAAATGAGACCTTATGCTTAGATATTCCAGCATTAAAATAAGACATTTTGCTTAGATATTCCAGCATTAAAATAAGACTATGCTTAGATATTCCAGCATTAAGATTAGATATTTAAAGCACAAAACTAGATCATTCAGGCATTATGCTTAGATATTCCAGCATTAAAATAAGACATTATGCTTAGATATTCCAGCATTAAAATAAGACATTATGCTTAGATATTCCAGCATTAAAATAAGACACTATGCTTAGATATTCCAGCATTAAAATGAGACATTATGCTTAGATATTCCAGCATTAAAATAAGACTATGCTTAGATATTCCAGCATTAAAATAAGACATTATGCTTAGATATTCCAGCATTAAAATGAGACATTATGCTTAGATATTCCAGCATTAAAATAAGACATTATGCCTAGATATTCCAGCATTAAGATAAGACCTTTCCTAACTGCCTCGACCTCTCCCTTGCCGACTCGCCTCTCAACGGCAGGACGAACGTGGGAAGCTTCAGGACCGCCCTCGGGGAGGTGGTGAGCCACGTGAACCTGAGCGACGTGACGGTGCGCGACGGAGGGACCTACGCCTGCACCGCCCACAACACCCTCGGCTCCGTCAGCCACTCGGCGAGGGTCAACGTCTACGGTAGTTGTTGCTTCTTTGCGTCTGTAGCTCTTTTTAGCTTTCTCAGTGACACTAGAGTGTTTGTGTCTTTGGTTTGCAATGGCACTGATAAGCGTTTCTTTTCTCAGCGAAAACGGGCTGCATCTTGACCTTTGCCGCAATCTAGAGAAACTGCGTCTTATAATGATATTATAAGTATTATATTATAATGATAATATATAAGTATGATATTATAATGATAATATATAAGTATGATATTATAATGATAGTACATTCCATTACATCGTGACCTTTGCTGCAATCTAGAGAAACTGCGTCTTGTAATGATATTATATATTATATTATAATGATAATATATAAGTATGATATTATAATGATAATATATAAGTATGATATATAATGATAGTACATTCCATTACATCGTGACCTTTGCTGCAATCTAGAGAAACTGCGTCTTTGTAATGATATTATAAGTATTATATTATAATGATAATATATAAGTATGATATTATAATGATAATATATAAGTATGATATTATAATGATAGTACATTCCATTACATCTTGACCTTTGCTGCAATCTAGAGAAACTGCGTCTTGTAATATAATGATAAGGACATGGAGCCTGCGATTTACTTCTCCTCGGTCATATGCCGGAACAGATACAAGATTTATTCTTTTCAAACGTCGAATTAGTCAGAAATTATAGTTTTCTGCGAAACCAAATCACATCTCCTCAAGCAGAAAATTCGAGTACACGCAGACTTGTTTTGCACAGTTGCCTAAATCACATCGTCAATGTATCCTCATTATCGTGACATCATTAAACTGCAATCGATCCTATTTGTCATATCGCCCATGTAATTATCGTCCCACTCCTCTTTATTCTTCCACTAAATACAAAGCAGGCTATTAAAACCCTCCTCCCTCCTCCCTCCCCTCCCCCAGGCCCTCCCTTCGTGCGCGCCATGCCCAACGTGACGGCGGTGGCGGGCGAGGACGTCAGGCTGTGGTGCCCCGCCGGGGGGTTCCCGACGCCCTCCATCACCTGGAGGAAGAACGGCCAGGTCATTCCTACTTCTCTCAGGTACGTCGCGAGTGAGGCGCCTTTAGGTTGTTTTTTTTCCTGCAATTGAATAAGGAAGAAACTAACTATATATCCTTTCTCGCTGCAAAACCACGAGTGAAAACGACCACCGGCAGAATGCTTTCAGAAAATAAGACGTCAGCGCTAGACGTGACTCAGAGCCTTCCCTCCCAACAGACAAGAGGTGCTGGGCAACGGGACGCTCGTGCTACGGACGGCGACCAACAAGGACGTGGGGCGCT